GGTTCAAATATTTCGTTACGGTTACTTTAAATATGTAGAGGCACGAGAACAAAAAGTTATAAAATACGGAAATTGTTCCACCGTATTAAAGTAGCTTTTAAACTAACTTTTAGTAGGAACAATTAATATGATTTAAAGAATCTTTTCGCCCATCCGTTTACTAATTTTAAACAACTATCCTCTGGGTAAGTTGTCTGGGAGAAATCTCTTTATACTGATAATACTGCCTAAATTGTGCCGTCTCTTTTGTATTTTTTTCCTTGTATAGTTTGGTGTACAACAAAAAGTGTATCTTCTTTTAGACATTTAATTAAATAAACGGTTTAACTTTTCGTTCTTTCTTCTTTCTTTCTTTTAATTAACCGTCTGATTAACTTGGTTGCGACATTTCAGAGAGATCTGTTCAAATGAGGATCTGGTCCGCGTGCGTGTAAAATCACGTTGCTGGTTGCGCGCAGGACTAACATTTCGTATTGTGTGCCCGCAGCCAATCCGCGATCCGCGTGCGTGTAACTAGGGTTTGCTCCCGGGAAATCCCGGTACTCATTTTTCCCGGGAATTCCCGGTAATCTTATCCTTTATCTAGTTCCGGTACTGACGATGCAATTCCCGAGACTTTCGGGACTTCAATAATTTATTTTTGAATAACAATTTTTTGACTAGATGCCATCATCTTTTTACGTACACACTATCAACAAATGAAAAAAAATATTAATAATGTTTCTAATTCATTACTATCCTTTTAAGACTGATTGTTTTATCTGATTGTACTTAGGTACTACTTATTATTTCTTATAATAGCGTGTTTTTTTATAAACCTAATTTATTTAATTTATGTTTTGTCCCTAACTCTTGTCGCTGCCAGTATTTGACATTGATAGAAAATGAGACACTGTTTCTGAGGGAATCCGCATCCGTTTTCGCACAGATGGCAGCCTGTTCAACTTAGCCAGACTTAAGGCGCGCACTAAAGTCTCGTATGCACTGATCACTGAGATCATGTATGCTGATGATTTGTGCTTTCTAGCAGAATCCTCAGAAGGCCTGCAACAGCTGATGTCCGTCTTTCACCAGGCATGCCGCAAGTTCGGCCTGAAGATAAGTGTCAAGAAGACAGAAGTGATGTCTTTGGACACAAATGACCACGAGTCTCTAAGCATTATGCTTGGTGAGGATGTACTGAAACAAGTGGATAAGTTCCGATATCTGGGGAGTACTATAACATCCAAATGTGACCTTGATGCCGAGATCAGCAGCAGGATCAGTGCTGCAGCTGCAGCATTTGGAAGCTGCGTTCCAAGGTTTTCTGCTCGCATGACCTAAAGCTGGCTACAAAAATTTCAATATACATGGCGGTTGTGCTGCCAAACCTACTGTACTCCTCCGAGGCGTGGTGCGTGTATCGCTACCATATACGCACACTGGATCGTTTCTACCTCAAATGCCTTCGCACCATCATGAAGATCAGATGGTCTGATCGAGTGCGCAATACCGAGGTGCTACGACGAGCCCATGTGGGTGGCATTGAGGCCTATATAATGCCTCGCCAACTTCGATGGTGTGGTCACGTATCACGTATGCCGGAGGAGAGAGTGGCGAAGCGCATCTTCTACTCTGAACTTGAGGAGGGTAAGCGGAAACATGGCGGTCAACTCCTCAGGTACAAAGATGTACAGAAGCGGCACATGAAAAGATGCAACATTGAGCGCTCTCAGTGGGAAGGTTTGGCAGCACAGCGCGGCAGCGTCCAGAATGGCGGGAGATTGTGAAAAGGCAAGTCCACGAGTTCGAGGTGCAGCGTACGACTGAACTCGACGCGAAGCGCGATGACTTGAAGGTATGTTGGCGGCGTGCTCAGATGCCCTCAATGCGCGAGGGATTTTACCGCGAAAATAGGCTACGTAAGCCATCTTCGGGCACACCAGCGCCGCCAAGACAGCTAGGAGTCGGAGTGGTCACCATGGCCGAAATCGGTCGGATGGATCATCATCATCATCATCATCAACATCATCATCATCATCATCATCAGAAAGTGAGAAAACATATTTTAACTAAAATAGGTTGATTAAACGATTGTTGCTTTTTATGAATATGGCGGTTATGATTTTTAATGGGCATTTATAACTAGTTTTGTCGTGTTGTGTAACTGTTTTGACTGATTTATTATTAAGGTAACAGACCAATTGAACTGAACAGAAAAAGTTTAATATTTTTGTTAATCTATTCACATTTTTATTAAAATTACGTGCAAATTAGGTAATTTGTTTTAATAACCATTCACGTGGGTACCGAAATTCCCGAATTTCCCGGTTTTCCCGGTACTGGCTTGGACCTGGTACCGGTAATTCAGTAACACTCCTTAGTACCGGGACTTGCAACCCCTACGTGTAACCCGCGTAATATTTTTTTTTTATGCTAGACAAGGCAGGTATTTGACCGCAATCGCACCTGGTGTTAAGTGAGATACAGTCTAGGATGGTACATATCTGCCCTGTAAGTGCCTATTCACTCTCGCCTTGAAAACGCCCGGATTATAGTGTTCAGGAAATACAGCAGCAGGCAGCGAATTCCAGTCCCTAGCTGTTCGCATTAATATATGAAAAACATGTATGAAATAATGAAATAATAACGGATTAAATCGGTCCGACCGAAATCCGCATCACAGGAAAAATCACTAATGCCCGTTGTCACCATCAATCCCTAATTTTTAAGTGACCCCTATGGAAACAAAATTCCTGTTATGTAATACCATAGGAGTCACTAGGCATAAGTTCACTTTGCAGTATTTACTCTCGCAAGTTATCTAAGTTGCCTCGAAATTATTATACTCGTAGGTGTATCAAATTGTCTTTTAAATGTTAGACTCCGTGGACAGATCCAATTACAGTAATCTTCTTCCGAAATTGTTTTTCTTCGGCGAATTAAAACTTGCCGCACGCTACTGATGTGACATTTCGCGTAGTTAACTTTTAAATGTTTTTGGTAATACTAACCTTTAGGGTTCCATGAAAAAACTGAACGTTTATTTTAAACTAGCTGACCCGGCGAACTTTGTTCCGCCTTAATGGCAATAAATAAGCAGAATTTTTTTTTCGAACGGGATAAAAAGTAACCTATGTCCTTCTCCTGGCTCTAAACTACCTCCCTGACAATTTTCAGCTAAATCGGTTCAGCCGTTCTTGAGTTATAAGCGAAGTAACTAACACGACTTTCTTTTATATATATAGATTTTTAAACACATAAGTAAGTCTTTATTTTGATTTATGATTTCAGACACTATGGCAGGGAATTCCACTCTTTAGCAAATACATATCTCAAAAGCCATCCGCTTTGCAATCAATGGAGGGAAGTCGAACCTTAACCTGTGGTCCTCCTATGTTCTTATGATTAATTTCGTTGCGGGTCCAATGACAGTTTAACTTTCCTCTGGGACTAACTTGGCCTTCACTGGTTAGGTTTTTATTGGCGGTCAAGCTGTAGATCCTGGCTACACAGGAGTTACAGCAGTGGGAATGAGAGGTGAGAATAGTTCCGTATGATAGACTTGAGAATTATATTGAATAGGTTGTTTTTAGCTTTCAAAGCCATTAAAATCAAAATTGTACAGATAGTTACATAATTGAAAAGTAATTGGGGTTTTCAAGGGTAAAATTAAGGGTTTCGAGAAATTAGGACATTTGAATTATTGATATACCTCTAGCAGAAGATACTCCGTCACTTTTGTCAGCCTATAGGTACTCAAAATAAGGTAGGTACCTATATCATGAATTAGTTGTACAGTACAACTGTTCTAGAAAACTCTATGTAAAGGTATACTTAGGTATTATCTTTATGGACAGCTTGCAGTGCTATTATGTTCTGGTCAGCTTAATGAAAATAGGGAGAAGGGAGGAAAGGGGGCGTCCATAAATTACGTGAGACAATTTTGGCTATTTTTCAACCCCCCCGCCCCCCTTGGTGAGATTTGGTGAGATTTTGCCTGACCCCCTCCCCCACCCCCAAATCTCACGTGATATTAAAAAAAATCCGAAATTTAATAGTTTTGGAGTAATATAACTGAGAATATTTTTTTTTGTGTGCTTTAAGGTTGTCGCTAACGAGTGCATCAAAAAGATCTATAAAGTTGAAGATTTTAGTTCTTNGGTCGGATGGATCATCATCATCAATGAACAAATTATAACTATTTTCACAAATGTGATTTATGGACAGGACTACGTCATAGTGTGGTTCAAGAGCGGTCATTGAGCTGTAGTGACACTATGACAGACTGTTATATGACCGATGTATTCTAATCTTGTGTGGAAAATGCCCAATGAAATGTGCAAAAGGTGAACCATTTCTTGTTGTAAATTTTAAAGGCAGATTCGATACATTATCTTCAAGATTTTTATTCATAACGGTATCTGAACTGTGATCTATTTGCATAATAAGATTTTGCCACCACAAGCTATGAAAATGTGTTAAAGAACAACAACACAGCATTAAGTGTCCGTATTTTTAAGTACCTGTAAGAGTGCGCAACGACTAAAATCCTCTCGAAGAGTAAGACATGATAACTGGCAGAACAATTAAAAATTTAAAAATCTTGAAGATTTGCAAGTGATTTTGTTTCGTTTTACAATTCAAGTACCTCCCCACTCCAGGCAATAGTAATCGTCAAAACAACGACAATGATTCCTAAATTGTTTTATCATCGAAACATATAGTATTATTCACTCGAGTGAGTAATATTAATTTCCTGTAAGTAATTATTCAGAAAAGTTCTCGAGTGGAGATCTCGGACCGGAAAACATAATGTAGACAGGCTTCCACTCGATGGACAGACAACCTAGTTGAAGGTCGCGGGAAGCACCTGGATGCGGGCGGCTCTGACCGGTCTTTGTGGAGAGAGGGGGAGGCCTTTGTCCAGCAGTGGACGTCATTTGGTTGAAACAAACTAAGAAACTATTACGAAAGACATTGATAATATCTATGTTAAGAATATAAAATGTAGCACTCACCAGCCAGCGATCTCTCGTCGGTCTGCAACTGTGCTCGTCGCTCGTTCCTCTGCAGTATCGCGGCGAAGAAGTTCAGGAAAGGCTCTCTAGCTTCAGGACACAGCAGGATATTGTGGCAGATGTTATGCAGCGTGTTGCGACTGGCTTCCACCTCCCGTTGCAGTGCGAACGCCAGGCTGCGGTCGCTGGAACCGCTCGCGAATAGGCGTTCGGCTAGACGCGGGTTCTCCTCGGCGAAGAGGGAAATCTGAACAAGGGATAAGCGTGGTAAGTCTTTGTTGCTTTTTAATTAACGGGAAAAGTGTGTGTTGTTTGAGGTCGGGTCAAAGTAAAGAGGTAACAAAAGCACATTTTGTAAACGTTATTTGATCGGAGGTCGTATTAGTTACCTTTCTACAATTTTTAAAAAAGACGTGTAGTATCATGATACGACGGGATTAGGTTTTTTTGGCATATGGTCAATTTAATGACAACTTTTCTCCCTCTCGCAATCCATTACTTGACTTTAGTCATAGAAATAGATTCAGGTACAAAATATTTGTCTGCCAGATTTACGACGAATTTATTCAATTCTAATTTTACCGATCAAAGCATCTCCCTCGCATCATAACATCGAATAAACAACTACGCGGAACAATGAACACAACCGTAACGCGCAAGTTGACGACGCATCAACGGAGTTTGCTTACTTCAAGGAGCATTATAAATAAGTTCAACCGCACGTTTGATATACACACGATAGGTGTTTACGATGTTGTGATATCTTGACTGTATTCATCAGTAAATGCGTAAAAACGTCTTTCGAAGTTTTGAGACGACATGTAAACAGACACATTTGTTGTAATTTTCTACAAAAAATGTCTCAATGGCATAAACAAACTAACATAACAAGAAAATTATGGTTGCATAAAATATCTTTAATTTTCCCAAGATCAAGAACAGTCTAAAATGCTGGTAGATAATGACGTATGGCATTAAGCTCGCCTTTTTGTACTAAACATTGTTGTGTGTGCAATAAAGTCTTTAAATAAATAAATAAAATGTTGAACAGACTTGAACATCAAAACATAAAAGGTGGTGTTTGGGGGCCATGTCCTTATATGGGTCTCACTGGTACTTCAAGACTTGTTTGTTTAGAAATCTCTATGGTTATAAAGGTGTCGTAAAAACTCAGTAGGTATAATACACAGTACACAGCTTACATCCAAAACTTCTCAGGGAACTTACCGCAAAGAACGGCCCAAGGAAGCTGACCCTCGCGATCTCCCTGCCAGGCGCGGTGGTGACGGCGTCGGGACACAGGCTGGGCAGGCGAGCGATGAGCGCGCACACGGGCCGCAGCGCGTGCCGCGGGCCCGCACGCATGTCGCATAACGACCGCAGCGCCCGAAGCGCCGCGCCGTGCCCGCGGCCCACGCCCGGCGACACGCAGCGGCGCATCTCTTCCCGAATGCCCATCAGGAGAGGCACAAATACCTGTGCACGTCAATCGTCTTGAAGCGACAATAGCAATGAGGGCTATCGTTTTTATACTTAACAGTTGGCACCCCTGGCGATTGACAGGACCTTACTCTACAGTGGCGCCATCTCGATGAGTGCAAATGCGATAGTCCTCCTACCACTTTAGCACTCACCAGTTGGTGCCACTGTCTTCGCTACTAGCAAGTGACAGGACCTTACTCTACAGTGGCGCTAACTGGTGAGCGCTAAAACGATAGCCCTCATTGAAGGTGAAGTGGTCGGACTAGCCGACTCGAGATCCGAGGAACGCGAACGCGGGTTCTAACTCCGCCGCGCCGCTCGACTATCGTGGTGAACCCACGGTAATTTGTGCAATACAAATTACTAATAATCTTAAAAAAAAACTTGAAGCGACAATAGCCGAACGGTGAAGGAGTCGGACTAGCCAACTCGAGTTCCGAGGAACGCGGGTTCGAATCCCAGCGCCGCTCGACTATAAATTGTGGTGAGCTCACTCGTAACACAAGCTTATTTAGCTTAACACGAGGGTCTAACGGGACAAATTTCTAATAATCTTTAAAAAAATCTTGAAGCGACAATAGCCGAACGGTGAAGGAGTCGGACTGGCCAACGGGGTTCGGGGTTCACGTAACTATTAGTATAGTATACTTACTAATATTCTTTAAACAACTATACTCCGCGCCAAATACAGGCTTTTAAAAAAATTTTATTGCGGAATATAGGCTTTTCCTATTGGTCTTTCGTGTTCAAAACTTCAAAGTACCCAGTCACCACATTAAATTAAATTCAATAATTGTTACCCCATTTAAAAATCCTTTGTTCAACAAGATAACTATTGATAAAGACAAAAAACATAAACGCAACTTATAAATTTTTAAATAAACAGTGGCTGACCGCATCTTGTGAACACCCATGAATAATGTAGAGGTATTACATATTTATTTTTCGAAAAAGGTAGACCCATTTTAACATAAAAAAAAAACATGCATGTTCTAATACTATTACCTATTGCATGCTTTATATTCAAATACATAATGTCTCAAGTAATCTGAATTACATTTGCCTAGTCACAATGGTAAATTGTATCTTAATGTAATAAAAATAATGTCAATTTACCTCCTCAAAGACCTCCTTTTCCGTGTATGTGGCGATTAATACTTCTGGTATCAGACCTATGGGCGTGTTCCCGATGAGGATATACGGAAGCAGGGGCGATTTGCGGCACTTTTCCAGTTCGAATCGACCCTGTAGCACTAGCACCAAATGATTCACCAATAAAGTCCTTAAATTTTGCAGTAGATCACTAAGAGGTGGTTCCGAGCTCTTCTTTGGATGTTCCCTTTCGTATAGGTTGATATTGTTGTAAAATCTCAGTAAATAACTAACAGCAAGTCCCTGTGTTGGGATGGTTTTGGGGATAGGCAGTGACGGGGTGGGACAATCCGCCTTGTCGGCGTCCGTCTCGGAGCCAAGCGGGCCGCTCGTCAGAGTGTCGTCTCCGCAATCTTCGCTCAGTCTTTTCGATGTTTCAGAAACTGCTATAAGCTTCTGATTCAGAGGATCCGATCCGTCTGCTATTTGAGTAATCACGTCCATTATTGCTTCTGATGCTAATTCGTCTAATCTTAACTTAGGATTGTCAAGTAAGGCTGCTGCAACCGATGGCACAAATATTCCACCTGCAAGAACAATTTTAGCTCTACATTTGTTCCTCTAACGCTATGAATCCGGTGCTGATTTCGTCCGCGCCCGTGTGGGTTGCGGGACAGCTCACGACTTAAGTTTTGTGGTCACGTAAATGCCTCTGGTTGTTGAACTGCAAGCAAAACTTGCGGGAGATGATGTACGGCGTAATACGTGTATGAAACGTGCCATTTTTAACATACAAATCTATATTCTTATGGGCCGCGGTCTCGAAACCGAGAAGGGCGTGGCTCTTTGAGTATTTTCTTAACCAAAATGCACAATGGTAAATATAATACAAGGATAAATAATGAAGCATAGGGTGATTCAAAGAAATAAAACTCTGAAAGGCAAGCGTAAGGTCATGGGTCCGATTACGACTTTAGGGAAATCGATTTGAAAAGTCATTTAGAATGAAGTTTTAATAGGTAAATTATTAGAGCATTAGAGTAGCAAACTATATGCTTACCAGCACTATCTTCTGACCAGGACACCTGGAGAATTTTGGCGACAATATGCCGCAATTGGTCTTCTGTCAGTTCTGTGCAGCTGACAGTTCGCGACCGATAAATTTTACGCGCTGGTGAAGCTGTTGAGTCGTCTTCAACCTAAAGAATACAATAAAATAAACAAATAGGATAGTACAAGTTCTTATCACAACCAGATTTACCAGCCCGTATATTAATACAGAGAACAAAGGTGCAACTAAGTTATCTTTCTTTTCTTGTCTTGTCTTGTGTGGTGTACAATAGTGTGGTCCAGGCATCAGCTGTTATTAAGAGTAAACAGTTATTCTGACAGAATTTAGATGTACAGAATGTATTCTGCTGTAACTCTAAATTTATTATAAGGTCATTGATTATGACAAATACCTTTGGTCTATTTAACTAAATTGTTTTATAACTACAAACTGTGATGTGAATGAGATAAATAGTCTTTGTAACAATGAAATGTTAGATAACCAAAATGATCTGATTTAAGACAAATCTTATTACATAAGAATTTTGTAACTTGGTATCATTAAAATCAAATTTTGCATTAAAACTGTGATAGTTCTGTGTACAATTGGTAGTTGGCATGATTTATACTGTTTGAAATAAACATAATTAATATCATTTAACAGTAGTAGTAAACATCTGAACTATAAATACTCATCTTGAATCATGTTAAATCGGTACTACCACATAGAAAATATTACCATTATTTTATATCTTATAAGTTATCTATTCTTCATTAATAATTTTCATATTTTGGGGGTAGTCTTACAATATCTTTATAGTTTAATTAAGTTATTATTAGGTAGTTACAAAATAATGTAAAGAAATAAGAACAGTACTAGAGCTTACCTCCATGGGCTCATGTTGTTGGTCTGACTGAGAATTTCTTTCTGAGCTATCATCCACTTCCATAGAGAGGGACCGCCGAGAACAACTGGGAGAAACATTAGGTCTCGGCCTGACCGGAGATGGCTCCGCAAACTGCGCTGGTGATATTGACCTAGACGTGCTGTCTTCTCTCGTCGACGTCCCTTCTGAGCCACCAACCGTTGACTGGGGCAAGCTGCTCACTCTCACCGAGCCACAACTCAGCAAAGCGTCCTCACCCATGGAATCAAAACTGTTGTACTGTCTCGTCTGAGACAGGTCAGTCATCTTTGTATCGGGCATTTCGTCTAATAAATTATTGTCTGTTTTCTCTGTTACAATTAAACCGTCGGCTGGTATATTCGTCTGATCTGTTACGTCACTTTTACTGACTTCATTGTTATAGTTGGGTTCTTTGTTTGCGTTGTTGAGGTCGGGGGTGCTGGGCTCCGTGGAGCTTCGCGGGGTGGAGGCGGGCGACAGCCGGGACAGGGGAGGCGCGACGTCGAGCGACGGCATCGACGCGCCCGGGGTGGCCGGGGGGCTCGCAGGAGACGGCCCCGACCCTGCTCCGCTCAGGGCGGCCAGACGCGCTAAGCGCCGTCTTCTTATCTGCGAACAATTGACACGAGGTCTTTCAGCACGTGTAAAAGAACACGAAGCGCGCCACTGAGATACACCGACGCTTTGTTTTGTTACGAAATTAGATTGGCCATACGCACTACCTACGCCAATGTTCGTTTACAAAACAAATATTCGACTTACCTCCTCCTGACTTAGTTCACTCATATTCAGTATGCTTGTATGTACCCTGAAGAATACCTGGTGAATACACTGTTTTTCAAAATTTTGCCTGAATCACTGAACAAGAAAGACGAACACAAGAGCAAGCCACAAAACGACAAGCAATCAGTCACCTCGCTCAGCTGTTTGACGTTTTAACTTTGTCGCTGGTAATGACGAGAAAGTATTGAAAATACACGCGTCATCCTTGTACGAATCACGGTACGAACTTCGTGGTGGAAGCGAAGTCAATTTTCTATCTCTATCTTTTGTACTGCGTTAAAAAGAGATATCACTACAATAGTGATGTTCGTGTGAGTACTATAAATTACTTTTTAATTTTTTGTAAGAGATACATTCAGCAAAATATAATTTAAATTGTAGATTTAAATATTTATTTTAATATTAAAATGTAAAACATGTAACCAAAATACTATCTTTTAAATTCATCTCTCCAGTTTCTCAAGTATTGTGCTAATTAAAGTTATTCATACTTAAATAAAATTTCTAGCATAAAGATGCGTTCGTGAATTCTTAAAATAAAATAAATACAATCGACTAATTTTTATGACTATCGTAATGTCATGTCAACGTAGTCATCTCGCTTATTTTTTAATGAAAAGCGTACAAGCTTTTTAAATATCATAATTAATGTGAAAGTCTTTCAACTTTGTATAGTGCGCGAGTCAGCAATAAACCGAGAGCAAAATTCACGCGAGAAAAAAACTCCTCAAGATTAAAAGCTGAGAAAATGCTGCATAGTTTCTTTTAAATTCGTTTTAAAAACGATGGTTTAAAAGATTACTATATCATTTATTACTATAAAAATCATCAACATCCAAACGTTTAATGAGGAGACTATAGACTGTTAGATTAGAATAAAACCCCAATAATGATTTTTATTTTGCCACTGATAAGCCTGTGATTTATTAATTCTATTAAAAGAATAGCAAATTGACTACTTTAAACTTATTGATAAAATAAAGTAAAGTAGTTGATTCAGGCTGATTTTGTATAGTTCCAAAATACTGGACTGTCCTGTCGATGACATTGACAGTGGGGCGCCACCGTCAATACCGGATCGCTGTTTCAGATTTTTGCCATGTTGGAAACCGTATAGTTGAACGATGGTAGCGCCCCCCTGTCATTGAGTTTGGCGGGACAGTTCAGCGTGGGTCATCTATAATTAGTCGATTCTTTTTATTGTAATGTGTCACGTCCCTACCTACAGCTGTCATTTAGTGGTCAATGGCCGCATGTTTGTAATATTTGTTTATATTTTGGATTTCAGAAAAACTTTATCAATTCTGAACAAAAACATCCGCAAAAGCTACTAAAATGTGAACTTAAATAAGTGATTTTTTAATATAAGTTACCAAAGAACGTATTGTGAATTGGTAATGGTGCCAGAAGAGGCTATAACCTGATTTTTTTGGAACTAAGTTTAATTATAAATTGACGTGATGTCTAATAACGTAGTGGCTGATTTGGTGTGTGGGCTGAAGGCTCGTCACACAGAGACGCGGCACAGGGCCATTCGAGAGTTATTACATTTCGCGAAGACTGAGCTGCGTGAAATGTCTCAGGAAGGGATGACGCAGATCCTGGATGATTTTAACCAGCACATCCACACGATGACTTCCAGCTATGACAACCACGAGAAGAAAGCCGGCATTCTTACTATAGGTAGGTGTTATTATTTTTAAAATTGTATGGTTACTAATGCTACCATAATATTGTGTCAATCAAACATACTTAATTTTCCAGTTTGCCTCATTGGTGGAGATACAGAAACAACTAAGACGAGAACCATCCGCTATGCAAATTACTTGGGAAATATCTTTCCATCAACTGACATAAGTGTTTTAGAATTAGCAGCCAAAACCATGGGTCGCTTAGCAGCATCATTAGGTGTAAAACGGGGAGAATATGTTGAATATGAAATAAAAAGAGCTTATGAATGGCTAGCGGAAGAAAGAAACGAAGGAAAACGACTTTCAGCTGTCCTCATTCTTCGAGAACTAGCTATAGCTATGCCCTCATATTTTTATCAACATATACATCATTTTTTCAAACACATAGTCGTTGCTCTTCGAGACCCGAAAGATCAGATAAGAGAAGCAGCAGCCAAGGCATTGAGAGCCGCACTGGGAATGACAGCCCAGAGAGAAATCCCTGAAAATAGCAATAAAATTCAATGGTATTCTGAATGTTATGAAGAGGCTGTGACATCTTTCACAGATCAAGCTCCTAGAGACCGAGGGCTCAGCAGAGATGACCATGTGCATGGTGCACTCTTGATATTGAATGAACTCTTGAGATGTTCCAATGCAGCCTGGGAGAAAAAGTATACCATGCTGATGCAAAAACTGGATGCTGAACAAGAGACATCTGATGACATGTCCTCCTTGAGTTCTAAAGTCCAAAATGCATGGTCATTGAGTACTGATGATACAAATCAAAATACTCCCATATATGAATCTAATATTTGCAAAAAGTTGATCACAGAGTATTATGAAAAAATCTGCTCAGATGTGATGGCCCAGCAAATTTCTAGGTCTCATCATGTCCACCAGTTGTTGCTTCTGTTAATACCAAGACTTGCTGCTTTCAACAGAGAGTCATTTGCAAGAAGACATCTCAAGTCTACAATCAACCACCTTATTACCTTTCTGAGAGGTAGAGAAAAAGAAAAGGCTATGGCTTTTACCACATTGGGTCTGATTTGTGTTGCTGTTGAATCAGACATTCAACAGTACCTACCAAGGATCATTGAAATAATTAAACTTACCCTCCCTGTGAAAGAAACACCAAAGAAACGCAATGGATCAGATACTCCATTGTTCAACTGTGTAACATTGTTAGGATATGCCATGAAAGAAAATGTTGTAAATGATGTAAAAGAGTTATTAGATCCTATGTGTGCCACAGGCTTAAGCCCACAGCTCACCACTTGTTTTAAAGAGCTTAGCCAAAATATGCCCTCTTTGAAAAAAGATATAACTGACAGACTAATAAATATGTTGTCATTAATATTAAGAAAAAAGCCCTATGTGCCTAACAATTCAGAACAACAGATTGTCCACATGATGTCTACAGCAATGCTAGTAGAGCCACATGATGCTACAAAACTAGTGCTTGCATTGCGCACTTTAGGATCATTTGATTTTGAATGGACCAATACAATTATGTCCTTTATTAGAAGATGCACAGACCACTACTTACTGAGTGAGCAACATGATATACGCTTAGAAGCCGTTAAAACAGCAGCCAAGTTGTTAGTCAAAGCTGTTGAAAGAAGCTCACAGACAAATTCAAGAACTTTAAATTTAATCATTGATGAGTCACTCGGTAAACTCTTGGCTGTAGGGCGTTCAGATTTTGATCAAGAAGTCCGTTACAGAGTACTAGAGGTATTTACAAATCCAGTATTTGATAAACACTTAGCTAATGAAGAACATTTAAGCTGTCTTTTTGTAGCTATAAATGATTCTAATAGTGAGGTGAGTGAACTAGCTCTATGTGTCGTGGGGCGACTGAGCAACATTAATCCGAGCTATACTACACCCACAATGCGCCAATTATTCGTGCAGATCCTAATGGAATTGCAACATTCTGAATCTACACGGAATAAGGAGCAATCATTACGAATGATTAATAATATTATATGTCATGCTCCAAGGATAACTCAGCAGTTTGTGGATATTATCCTCAAAGTACTTGTACCTAGATTGAAACAAGAAGATAGCAACACAACTATGGTTTCTATTATATTGAAAGCTATTGGCGATTTAGCAGAAGTGAATGGCGGTGGACACGCTTTAAACCAGTGGTTAGATGAGCTGCTGTCATTTCAAGTAGAATTATTGTCAGATCCAAATCAACCAGAAAAACGAAGCATTGCACTGTGGTCGTTTGGGCAAGTTATAAGTGCCACAGGTCACGTTATCATGCCTTATATGGAGTACCCACATTTAATGGATTTATTGTTAAGTTTTCTAAGAAGTGAGCAACAATCGCGAGACAGGCGAGAGACTATAAAAGTGTTAGGGTTGTTAGGAGCATTAGATCCATACAAGCATAAAGTAAACAAGGGATTGATCGATTTCCAAACAGTTTCAACTCTGATACCCATTACAGAATCGTCGAAAAATGATTATTATGACACAAATGTAAGTGATATGTTGGTTAAAATGGCTCCACTAGTCCTTGATGAATTCTATCCAGCCATTGTGGTTACGTCATTGATGAGTATTTTACGAGATCCCCAGTTGGCGCAACATCACACGAGTGTGGTGCACTCAGTGACGATAATCTTTCAGTCATTAGGCATTAAATGCGTTCCTTACATTTCCCGCGTCACGCCGAGCCTACTGTACGTAATACGCAACACAGAGAACAGCAGTTTCCGCGAGTTTCTGCTGACTCAGCTGGCACAGCTAATATCTGTTGTGAAAATACATATTCGGAATTATCTTGAAGATATATTTGACATGATTAGGGAGTATTGGACTCCTGACAGTCATTTGCAGCCCACACTTATAATGCTGGTGGAGCACATAACGGTCGCAATCGGAACAGAGTTTAAAGTTTATCTCAGAAAAATATTGCCAAATATTCTGAGAGTACTAAAGTATGATAAAAGTAAAGACAAGTTTCTGACTGAAAAATTGTTGTACACCATCCAAAAATTCGAAAATAATCTGGATGATGTTCTTCTATCAGTGGTTCCCGCGATCACGAACTTATTTGATGGTAAAAATATACCGATATCTATATCCAGACTAGCAATGGAAACTATGGATCATTTGTCTATGTACTTGTATTTAAAACCGTATTCGGCCATTATCATTCAAGCACTGGCGAAGGTATTGGAGAATAATCCCACTCTGAGATCAACAGCAATGAACACGCTTTGCGCGCTGATCGTCCAGCTCGGCCGTGAGTACATAGACTACATCCCCTCAGTCGAGAGACTGATGCTGAAGCACAAAATCGTGTGTTCAAATTACATCGTGTTGGTGACGCGGTTGCAAGTTATATCAACACTTGCATCTGATGATGATTATTTGGATGAAACTAGGTCGCGACTGCGTAATCAGAAGAGTGATGTAAGTATTCTAATACTAGCAGAAAGATTTCAGATTTATTAAATTTCGTACATAATAACTAAGGATATGTTAATTTTAGGTTTTGTCTAACACTGCTGATTTGCAAAGTATACAGAAGCTGACCGTCAATGTTAATAACCTCCGCAAGTGCTGGACTACCATGAACATAATATCCAAAGAAGACTGGCACGAGTGGCTGCGCCATTTAAGCATTGGGTTTCTCACTGAATCTAACAGCCCTGCTTTGAGGTAAATTTTAGAGCTTTAACATTTAATTGTTCACAAAGAGATTCATGGAATATAAAATATGTTTATTTATTCTAGGGCTTGTTCGTCATTAGCGCAGCATTACCCACAACTGGCTCGGGATCTGTTCAACCTGGCCTTCATGTCTTGCTGGACGGAACTAGACGAGCGCGCGCGCAAGGAGCTCGTCACCTCCCTCGAGAGAGCGCTGACAGTCCCGGACTCGCCCGAACTGGCATTGGCTGTGTTGAATCTCGCAGAGTTCATGGAACATTGTGAGAAAGGCTCTTTGCCTATACCCATCAAACTGCTCGGAGACACCGCAATAAGTTGCAGAGCTTTTGCAAAAGCCCTTTATTATAAGGTACCTTAAATAGTACTCATTTCACCTAACAACTATTTGTTTCCTTCGCTGTCTTTTTGTTACTCATCATCTTTTATTTTTAGGAAGAAGAATACAAAAAGAATCCATCCACACAAGTAGTTGAAGCTCTTATACACATCAATAACAAACTCCAACAAAAAGAAGCCGCAAATGGGCTTCTGGAGAGAGTCATCACGCAACAAAAAGATGGCAAATGCTCGTTGAATGTGCACGTGCGCTGGTACGAGAAACTGCATAACTGGGAGCAAGCGTTGGACCTCTACAGTAAGAACCTCGAAGTGGAACCTCAGGATAACGAATCCAAACTCGGGCTCATGCGATGCTTAGAAGCTATGGGTGAATGGCGTAAGCTTTACGACATCACCACGGATCAGTGGACTACTCTAGACGAAGACGTCAAACAAAAATCCGCCAAAATGGCAGCCGCAGCCTCTTGGGGTCTGCAAGAATGGGATTCGATGAAAAAGTTTGTCGACTGCGTATCTGAAGAGTCTCAGGAAGGTGCATTTTACCGCGCGATATTATCTATCCATGATGGGCAGTGGTCGGAATCCAGACATTACATTGATTCAGCCAGAGGCATGTTGGACACAGAACTGACAGCCGTGGTCGGCGAGAGCTACCAACGAGCTTACGGGGCTCTAGTAAACGCACAGCTCTTGACGGAATTGGAAGAAGTCGTCACCTACAAACTAGTCGAGGAAAGAAGAAATACGATAAGGAAAAGTTGGTGGCTGAGACTCCAAGGAGGCCAGCGGCTCGTCGAAGATTGGAGAAAGATGCTGCAAATACGGGGACTGGTACTCTCCCCTCGCGAAGATTTTCAGACTTGGCTGAAATTCGCATCTCTCTGCAGAAAAACTGGCGCCTTCAATCAAGCACACAAGATAGTGCTTTCTATTTTAGGTTGCGATCCCGTTAACAATCCTGACATATTATTGCGAGTGCAGGAACCGAGAGTAGTTTTGTCGTACAGTAAAAATCTTTGGGATGCTGGCAACAAACGTTTTGCATACGATGTTTTGCAGAGATTTGTAGACAGCTCTGAGCCAGACAACGATGAGCAATCCAGACTTTTAGCTCGTTGCCATTTAAAACTAGGATCGTGGTGTGAATCACTCCAAGAAATCAATGAGCTGTCGATTCCTGAAATATTGAGAAACTACGCGGCTGCGACAAACCTAGCGCCTGATTGGTACAAAGCGTGTCACGCCTGGGCGTGTATGAATTTTGAAACGGTCTTATTCTACAAACAGCAAGACAATGTATCTGAAAGCAGCATAGCAGGAGGTTCTGGTGAAAAGAAAGTCCTGAGAACAGATTTTATCAACACATATACTATTCCAGCTATTGAAGGATTCTTCAAGTCTATTAGCTTGTCAAATGGCAGTGCTCTCCAAGACACTTTGAGACTTTTGACTCTTTGGTTTGACTACGGCCATAATCCTGCTATTTATGATGCATTGTTTGAAGGAATAAGGCAGATAGATATTAAAATCTGGCTGCAAGTGATTCCACAACTTATCGCTCGAATAGATTCCCCAAGGACCCTCGTCGCCAAGTTGGTGCACATTCTATTGATCGATATCAGTAAGCTGCACCCGCAAGCCTTGGTCTATCCTTTGACGGTGGCCACGAAATCTTCTTTCGTGACTCGCAAGAATGCGGCCAGCTATATTCTAAAGACGATGTGCTCTCACTCTCAGAATCTAGTCAACGAAGCTGCCATAATATCCGAGGAGTTGATAAAGGTGGCAATATTGTGGCACGATCAGGTCATCATAGCCATCGATGAGGCCTCAAGGTATTTTAATCTCCTCTTTTCGTCTTTTATTTTCTTTACATCATCATCATCATTTCAGCCACAGGACGTCCACTGCTGAACATAGGCCTCCCCCAATGACTTCCACATCGCACGGTTGGTAGCGGCCTGCATCCAGCGCCTTCCCGCTACCTTTATCAGGTCATCGGTCCACCTTGTGGGTGGACCGATTTTCTTTACATAATATCTCGATATTTAGAGAATAACAGAGTTAAGGCTAGGATTTACCGCCTCGATGCCGTGCATTCGTTACCTCAGCCCCCGCACACCTCGCACTGACACTCGTGCTGACACTCGCGCGACGCGATGACGCCACAGTGTAAAAACAAGCCGTAAGTTGGATTAAACCGTAACCTTCAAATAGTGAATAAATAAATAATAATTTAAATATCCTTCGACATAATATTTTAACACTGCGCCTCTAGTCTCAAACTAAGCAAAGCTTGTACTATAGGATATGAACATATTACTTAAATAACATAACATAAATAAATACATTCATATTATGGTTAGAAAACACCCAGCCCGAAACAAACATTATTATAATGTTCATGCACACAAATGTTTGTCAATCAATAATGTCAAATAAAGATGATAATATTAAGTCAAACAAATACTTTTTACCGACAAAAATAGTAAGCAAATGATCACAAAAATGTAAACTCCATTTTAATATGAAATACTAATGTTCTTTTACGTATTGCTATTCTATTTAAGCAAATGACTCTAAATTAATCATTGTAAACCCAGAAATAGTAAACAATCCTCAAAACAACTTGCCTAGAGGTCCTCTTCTGCCCTTTTATAATTTTTAACTCAGATTCAAGCAGTAAACTTCTAAAATAATTATTTATGGTATCAATTAAATAACTGTATTGCCATCTAGTTTTATAATTCAGNTATCATCCATGATTGAAAATTCTTAGCTTTCTCCAGTAATACTGATATTATTATACTGTGACTCGCCACCCGCCAGACAGAGGCGATTTTGTCAAAAATATTGACAAATCGCGAACTGTCACAGGAATAAAACTGACACGCGTCCGTCCTCCGTAAGCGCCACCGCGCGACTGATTGAGATTGTTCAAGCCGTCATGGCCGATTTTTTCACATTTTTTCAACATAGTAACTAAATAAGACGCAATAACAAAATTTTGAAAAGTTGTCGACCTAGAAAATACAAAGTCCTATCTATTAGTAGATATTTTAAGTGTAAAATGTTAAAAATGAATATATGAGAGTAAAACAAAAAAGCCGTCGACGTACTTCTTTGGGATTTTTTTTTATCGGACAAACTATGCAATATCGTGTTTTGGAAAAGTTGTCGCCCTAGTTAAAGACATTAACTTACTCCGACAATTTTTTGTTTGCTAAAATATCTTTTCATTTAGAAACTATTTGCAAACAAAATCGGTCAAATATCGACAATTTGGAAAATCATGGCCTTAATTGTTGCAGATATTATGCAACCGAAAAGGACTACAGAAGCATGTTCAAAACTCTGGACAAAATGCACGCCATGCTCGATCGTCCAGCGGAAACGTTGAAAGAGATTTCGTTCCTTCAGATGTACGGCAGAGACCTCAAAGAGGCTCAACGGTGGAGTGAACTTTATAAGGTAGGAGGCGAAGATGTTAATGTAAATGTGTGCATAATATTTTACCATAGAGATCTAAAGAGATGCCGACTAATGCGCCGAGTTCGAAACCCAGTGTCGCATTGGAAATTCACACACACATTGCATTCAGTACGACTATTTGTTCGCATACCAGGTTACAAGTAATGTATGTAAAGCACCACTAGACATGCAGTGACGTGCGATTGAATGAATTTGTTAGTTTGAATGTGCTCATTATCCACTGCGGTATCAGTACTCAACGTACGATTAATCTTTAGTACTACGCAAGCAATGTAAACTGTTTACAGATATAACGTCGCCGCTGTCATCATTGCTGTCGCGAGCGATGTGTTCTGTTTTTGGGCATATTGCTGCGACACTGGCCCCGCCCACTTTTCACATCTCCCATTAGTTTAGTTCGTTTCTGTGATCTGTGGCTGACTATATCTACCGGGATCAGTGCTAATACGTGGCATCGTTATTCGCGCAGGCAACAGGCGAAGACCGGTACCTGAACGAGGCGTGGGAGCTGTACTACCAGGTGCTGCGGCGCATCATGGCGCAGTTCCGCTCGCTGCAGTCGCTCGAGCTGCAGTACGTCAGCCGCCGCCTGCACGCGGCGCGCGGCCTGGCGCTGTGCGTGCCCGGCTCCTACGTGCCCGGCGCGCGCGTCACGCGCATCCAGCACATACACAGCCACCTGCAGGTCAGTGGGCGCAGTGCGCTGTACGTCAGCCGCCGCCTGCACGCGGCGCGCGGCCTGGCGCTGTGCGTGCCCGGCTCCTACGTGCCCGGCGCGCGCGTCACGCGCATCCAGCACATACACAGCCACCTGCAGGTCTGACTATACTGAACTGTAAACTGTCATCCTCGTGCTCGATCTGCTACGGTGCACCAGTTTGGGCTGACAAAGCTACTGTAGGAGCCGCTCGACGGAAAGTACTCCAAAGTCGACCCTTTGTATTGGAACAGTCCCGTTATCATTCTCGTGCTCATCCTACATGGTCTTGCCCCCAGCGAAATCCCAATACAATAAAGTGTAAGGCGCCGGGATTCACCGAGGTGAAGCGGAGCGGAAAAGTGTTTTAAATAACCAATGAAATGTCATTCAGATTGAATGAAATTGACAGAATTAAATCTTATTGGTTATTCACGCTCCGCTTCGCCTTGAGCTCAAGTCTTCCAGTGTATAAACCAAACATTTCCCATCCAAAAACAGACAGTACAATGAAAGTTTGAAATGTGTAACGACTGACAACATTCATCGCAGGTGATCAAGTCGAAGCAACGCCCGCGGCGGCTGACCATCCACGGCTCGGACGGCAAGCAGTACATGTTCCTATTGAAAGGCCACGAGGATCTTCGGCAGGACGAGCGAGTGATGCAGCTGTTCGGGCTCGTCAATACTCTCCTACGAGCCGACGCGAGCACATTACGTCACGACCTGGCCATCCAGCGCTACGCCGTCATTCCGCTGTCGCCCAACTCGGGCCTCATCGGCTGGGTGCCGCACTGCGACACGCTGTACAACCTCATCAGCGACTACCGCGACAAGAAGACCAACAAGATGGCGCTCAACACCGAGCAGCAGATCATGCTGCGCATGGCCTCCGACTACCAGAACCTCATGCTCAAGCACAAGGTCAGCGGATTAGTCTGTCACGTTGTGTGCGCGTGACGCCGTTATTGCTTTATGACCCACAACTAGCCAAATTATTGCTTTGTTTTATGACCCAGAAACAATGATAACACTTATCACCTGTAGTTTATAATGCATAACATTAAGACAAAAATATTTAACATGTATGATAAGGCTGAAAAGTAGTTCACAAACTATTGTCAAAATAAATCTGAAGAAGTTGTCTTTTATCTCATTATTAGACAAACAATGAAGGTTATCGCGGTCCAAATGCTGCATGATTGGTTATTTTTGACAATGCATTGCAATCAATTTGCAAATCCACCAATCATGCAGCATTTGGACCTCGCGTCTACGTATTGCCATCTGGCGGATTTTTCAATCGCGAAAACCCTCATTGACGCGCAACACATGATTCTCAGTTGTGCACAACTTAAAATTTCACATTTGAACAAAATTTGGCTTAATGAATACACGCTTCTATTTACCCCTTAGAAACTGGGATTTTAACAAATTATTTAAACAATGCCATCTTGAATCAGGTGGAAGTATTCGAGTACACCCTATCACAAACGCCTGGCAACGACCTAGCCCGCCTTCTATGGCTGAAGAGTCCCTCCGCTGAGGCGTGGTTCGAGCGGCGCACCAACTACACGCGCTCGCTGGCAGTCATGAGCATGGTGGGCTATATCCTCGGCCTGGGCGACCGACACCCCTCCAATATCATGCTGCACCGAGTCACTGGGAAGGTCCTGCACATCGACTTCGGAGACTGCTTCGAGGTGACGCAGACGAGAGAGAAATATCCTGAGAAGATCCCCTTCAGACTGACAAGAATGCTGATTAATGCTATGGAGGTAAGATGTACTTTACAACCCGATCGAGCTAACTCATCCGTCCGCGTACGATTCGGAGAGTCGATGTGACGTCACGGCCAGTACGCAGTTAACTCGACTGGTTTGTACAGAAACATTGTCGATTGTCATTATTTCAGCCAATGGCAGTCCAATCTTGTGCTTATGTACAGGTGACGGCACATCAGCTATACAATACACTGTGGCATCTTATTGCGTTGTAATAGGGGTTATTTTGCAACAAAGATGAATAGTCTGATGTGCTGTCGCTGTACATTGTGCTTTGTGGCGTTCCTTGGGACAGGCTTATGCTTACGATCTCATTTTACATCTAGCAGTTGCTAGCTATCTTCTGAAGGTCGTCGGTCCATAGAGCAAATGGTCGTCCTATGCTACGTTTGCCGAGACGTGTTCTACACTTGAAAACCTACTCCTCCTCCTTTCGTCGGTTCTTTACATATAAGATTTTTTAACTAACAATTTTTGCGGCCATAACTGCACATAGTTCCTATTATACAAATGCTGATTTCAAATCTATTTACGCTTATTTATATCTGAATAATGCTATCACAAGGTCGACGAGTACAAAACAAAGATTAATTGGTTGTTCTACAGGAATCGATTTGATTGTTACGCTATTACGCTAATCCATAAGTACAGATAAAATCTAGGATGCTTCAACAAATAATAACTATTGCGTATTTATGAAAAGAAGACATTATAATTTAAAATAAAACAAACTAAGTAGAGAAATAATAACACTCAAAGCTATTGCTTTACTTTCCTCCTAGCTACCTTTCAGAGTTCAAATAATAACGTTTCGATAATTAAACGTGACCAAATTTTAACGTGATCAGTGATATTCTCAAAATTATCACATCATTGCTTGTTTTGTAGTGATTTTGAGAATGTTGTCTCTGTTGTTAGCATCATGATGACTTAACATTTCGCATATTTTTCCAGTTATTTAATTGGACAATGTGATGTGAATTAAAAGATACGCCAACGCTTTTGGCAATTAAACTGTTGTCTTTTAATCGTTTAAGCCGGCGACTCATTTCTCGCGACAATTACTTCGTTAGGAGAGGCCATTACAGCTAAAACAATTGCTTTTGTAGCAATCAATGATATGATCTCATTTGTTTTGTTTTGGTCACTAGCACGATGATGACTACTTGGTTATATCCCTGACTAAACACTAATTTTAATATTTTGTTAGTGTCTATTTAAATTAACTAACTAAACAAACATTTATTATTTTAAGGGTAGTACATAATTTTTTATTTTGCTTTGTTCATTAGATAGTAAAAAAATATTTACTTTAGATTATGCTTCCTAATAATTGGGAATTTATCGCTTTTTTTTATCGCAATCGTGCTCAGTTTGGCATTGGACTAATTTTATTACCCAGCAATGGGTGGCACAGATTGTCATACTGAAAATGTTTGTGATAGATGTTAAGTCCATGCAAGCAAAAAGAATTAGAAGTTGTAGATAGATGTCAAATAATAACATCTTAGAATAGAATAGAATAGAATATAATGTATTTATTGCTTTTTCTGTGTACAGTTTGCAGTTGTTAAGGCATAAAATTCGTTACAACAGATTGCTCATATTGAGCATGCAATATTAAATTGTACAGACGATGCCACATCGAGACAAAACTTATTTCGACGTAGTACTGGTGACTTTGCAACAAACACGTATAGTCCGATGTGCTACCGACGACTCTTGTCTTTAGTTAGTCCATTGCATGAATAAGATATTGCCGTTTGAGGTCCCAACATTCATAAGTGTTTCGTATCCAGGTGACGGGCATCGAAGGCACATACCGCTTCACGTGCGAATCCGTGATGCACGTGCTGCACAAACACCGGGACAGCGTGATGGCGGTGCTCGAGGCGTTCGTCTACGACCCGCTGCTCAACTGGCGACTGGTCGACAACGACCGCCACTCGCTCACCGCCTCCACCTTCTCTTCCGACATCGACTCCTCCTACACTCTGCCCAGTCGGTCCCGGAACCACCTGCATTACGAGTCCCTCGAGGCGCCGCCCGAGGTTAACGTCAACAAGCGAGCCGTGGCCATCCTCAACCGAATCCGCGACAAACTGACCGGCCGCGACTTCCCCCACATAGATCCTGTGGTCAGCGTGCCCAAGCAAGTCGACCTGCTCATCAAGCAGGCCACCAACAACGAGAACCTCTGCCAGTGCTACATCGGCTGGTGCCCCTTCTGGTAATTTGATCTGAGAATTACTTCTTTTGCGACATCAAATGGATAGTTGACGCTATTAACCTATAATACCAAGACAGATTTTTTGTAAGTCATCCGACCGAGCGAACGAAGAATCATTGGTTTTTATTGCCATACAAATACGGTCAACTATCAAATTCGTGAGTTAGTCTATTATGATTTCTTTTGTCTACAATATAAATCAGAGACACCACCATATCTAACACTTTCATTTCATGGCTTTAATTTGTTTTGTTTAATTGTTTAGAATTCAGTTTTATTTTTTATTGTTAAAATACATAGTATATTTTATTTGCATTTCTAATGCAGGATTACCGCATTTATGAGACAATGTAGGTACTGTTGTTGTAAGTCGAGGAGACTGATCACACGTTACTAGCGATATTAGCATTGTAGCTGTTACTATATTTTCTCTACTTTTATTACCCTGTACCTAACCTATTTGTCGTTGAATTTTGTAAAACACGCTTCGTTTTATTAAACACCTTAGTTATGTAAGCCACATCGTTTTTTGTAATAGGATATGTTTTCCGAACGTAGGCTTGTCAAAACATAACCCCGTGTATTATCATCACCACCGCATTTGTAATCTGTTTCTACCTCTTATGTTTAAGGAAATGTTGCATTTATTTATCGGATTGTTATTGTCCTACTAATTGATTTAATTATGATTGTTACATGAAAAACATCTAATCTCAACAACGTCATACTGTGTACTTGCAAAATGTGACTTGAGGCAAATACATGCATCTAAAGACTGCTTGAAAACTGATAAATCTGTAGAATATTATGTACGAAGTGTACTTTTAAATAATCATACCGTTTATCACTGCCGAAACTATACTTCCAATAACATTATACTCCTACTACCCGTCAATAGAATTGCACACAACGATGCATTTACGTTATAAATACGTCGAGAATAGATTTAAATATAAAAACGTTATGTTCTTGTCATTAAAGAACAACTTCCTGTTTGCTTTGAACCAGCTTCCTATAACATAGTCTGTATATAGATATTATTTCCTAGTTGTTAATTAAGTATTATATTTATACATTATGTGTACATAAACTGACGCAATAAAATATTTAAAACTTACTTAAAATGTTTTAATTTTACAGTATACTCTTGCGTAAAATACAATAGTTAATAGGCACATTATGGGCATTATAGAAATCGCGTTTGAGAAACTTGATTTGTTTGGAGAGTCACGAAGTTTTCGTTATGCCACAGAATAATAATAAGTACTGTTATGCTCCTGCTCTGTCTGCCTTATCATTATGTATATTTAAATAATAGCGTTTAACGGCCTTTATTAGAATTATAAAATCACATTTCACTTTTAAGCTTGTCCATTAGCACTAGAGTCACGACCACAACTACACATTGATGCTGTCTTCTTTGAAGCTAACATACGAGAGAGGCAGTAGTTGCGACAGCTTCGTGCATAACACTTTATCCAATGTGGGCTTCCCTAAGTAAATGTCGATATCCCCATTCGATCCCCGGAATTCGTTGAGGGTTTGTCTGCACACCCCACAAGGCGCGGTGAAGTTCGTTTGATGAGCGATGACCGCCACCATCTTGAACTTGAGGTATCCTTCTGACACCGCTTTGGGCACTGCGCAGCGTTCAGCACATATCGAAGGAGCTAAGGTTGAACTTTCGATGTTACATCCCGAGTAAGTTTTGGAGTCCTCTTCCGTCAGTATGGCAGCGCCCACTGCGAAGTTTGAATAAGGGCAGTATGCTCGTTGTCTTGCTACGACTGCTTCTCGAAGTAACTGTTGTACGGTCTCGCCTGTGAGAAGATTAAATTATTAATGTATAAAATATTATCTGTTATTGTACTTAATCTGTCAATACGATAGATATCATAATTACTCTATTTTCTGTTTATATCTGACTTGGTTAAAGGTTAAATATGATAGGCGACTTATTAGGAATAATTAGAAAATTAATTAATGTGTATTAGAACTACTATTTCAGTAAGTAGTACACATTTATGACTTTTCTTCAAGTAAAAACACTATCAAGTTTAAGGAGAGCATGGCATAATGTTACATCTCTACAAGTCACTAGGCTGTTTTATAATGCAAATAATAATAATATATATTGTATTTATTTGACATTTAGAAATTAATGTATAATTTATTACTATTTAATTAATTTTTAGTCTGCACTCTGTATTAATTTTAACTGTGGAAACTTTGCTGATTTCTGTCCTATTTTTTGTGTGTTTATTTGTCTGTATATCAATATTGTTTGTTTCCCTAATATAAATAAATAAATAAAATAAATAAATATTGGATTATCTAATCGTCAAATATGTAGGTACGCAAGCGGGAAAAATCTGAGTCTTGAGAAAAATTACGTGCAAGCGAAACATTTTGATATTACAGCGTGTAAAAATAGATCACGGTCTCTAGCTTACAAAATGTAATTAGTTTGATGTTTAGAATAGGGACATTAAATCAAAATTTTGTTCGGATGTAGTAATCTAAAAATACTTAAAGTTTTGATTGTTAAAAGTTCTTAATACTTACTCAGCGAAGTGAAGTCCAAGACTTGAAAGTTGTCCATAGCGCAGCGCTGTATCGTATTTATATCGCTTCGGGCGAGTGCGCGGGCGCGCGTGTGGCTCGGGCCGCGGTCACCGGCCCACTGATTAACGCCAACGATCGTTGATTAGATAGATATTGCCGCTCTTGATTGAATATGTCCTTTGTGATCGTAAACATCTGTGTACTGTAGCTTTATATCATCGAAACTCAATAAACCGGGGATATTTTTTTATCGAAAATTTCACTTTAATATACTTAGTTATGTCATTAAGATTAAGGATAATCTTTTCAATGATATTATTGAGATCTTGTTCAAAACACAATCTTCCAATTTTATCTTGGTGATAACTAAGATCTGATTAAAATTTTAAATTGTTGTTTTAGCGGAATATGTACCTACCTATTTGAGCGATTCTAACTTCTACAGCTTCTTGCGAAGCCTGAGGAATATTTTGACCATCCCATGTCTAGTTATAGCAAATACTTTTCGCACTGAATAACTCACTTAAAAATTGAACCCAGAACCGAGTCGAGAGAACCCGTCTTTCTAAACACTGTGCTAGAAATTATATTATGCTGTTTCTGTGATTGAATCAAGTAAAATAGTTGCCATTCTTGACTCTACGGTCCTTGACATAGTTTTTGGCACTTTTGAGTTTCTGTGAATTGGCCCCCCACAGAACGCGTAAAATCTCATGAGGTATAAGTAGTACATACTTTTAACAAAAAGTAGGCAATCTGTCCTTTGAAAAAACGAAAAACGTGGTCGTGGTCGAGAAATAACGTGCAGTGAAAGCGGCCCCAGTGCATTGTCACAATCAAATGCAAGGCCGTTGTAGTTCGTCGACGGCACAACAATCGCCAACTTACATGTAGACTGATTGATGTTGCGATCATAAATTCACAAAATAGATACGTTGCATAAAATCCTATAAAGAATAGTTCACTTTAAGTTTCGCAAAATTGTACAAAAATAATAAATTGTGTTAACCAAAAAATCCAACTCAAGCTTTCGATGCCTCTCTTGCTTTGTGAACTATCATATTATTCAAACGCAAAGCGACATAACGTGTAAAGGCAGTGATTTTCATCTTTCGGTTTCAAGTTTTTGAAAACACCGGCATTCATAGGATTTTGTATCAATTTTTCTTCGAATGAGGGAACTCCCCGTGTAGTAATAACAAAATTGGTTGATATGCTGCTTTTACACTATGCGGAAATTAGTCAAGTCAAAAAAACAGAGGAGTTGGGATGAAATTCATTCATAATTCATCCCCACTCCACTGTTTTTTTGACTTGACTTGGCTAATTTCCGCGCAGTGTAAACGCAGCAATAAAGCGAGGTTTAGACTAGCAATAAAACTTGCAGAAGTTGATTTTCGCAAACCACTGTAAATCTTGCAGAAGTTGGCTTGCCACAGATATTTACACAGTGGCAAACAGCTTGCGGAAGTCAAATTCTGCATATTTAATATGTAGACATACTTGCGATAAAGTAATTAAAGGAAAACCAAAACTTCATTGGAATCATCTTTTATTTTATTTTAAACAAACATCAATGACAACAGCAAAAATGCGTTCGAGCTTAACTAAACCCAGGTTTTGTAAATTAAAGAAATATACATTATACGTAAATTATGACCCAAGAATTCCAATGTTAAGATTTAAAATGACACTGAAAGCTCTTAAGTATTATAAGTTTAATAATAATGTGTAAATTATATTCTAATCAAAATAATTATAATCTAATTCCAATATAATATGCATACTTATCAATAAAATTATCAGTTTAGATATACATGCTGCATGTAAATATGACTTAGAATGACCATTAACTCAACGTAATATGTAACAATTTTTACATTAAATCATGGCTAAATAATAACTAATATTATTAACCATCATACATATAGGTATAGTATAACTATCATAGCAGCACAAACATTTTATCGATATATTTTATACTCAATTAAGAAGAAGACATGTGCTAACTAATGCCACCAATAGATTTTAAATCAAATACATATCATATCCTTTTATTCTACAATAATAGCCCTCGCTGAAAGTGAGAAATTTCGTCATAGGAACATTTCAAAACCATAGGAGAAATCATGAAGTATTGCAAATAAAAAATACATAGGTAGTATAAAGAAAGAATCAATTTAGAGAAAACTACGCCGTTTTTTTTTAAATTGGCCTACTTTAGAAAACATAAAAAATCAATTGGTGACCCGTAGCACATGTCAGCCTCTAACTAAAAGGAAGTACACTGCGTCAACCATTACTTCTCACGACAAGGCTCGGGCTTTATAATGTCTCATATTTCACAAGTATTCGAATCCAATTCGCATACAAATCTGCAGTAATCTTATGTTGAAATTCGAATGCTTCAAAAATGCGGAGATGTATGTCCAGTTTTTAATATGAGTCAGTAACTGCCTGCCATTTTCACCTTTTTCTTGGGATGGACTGTCCCGCAGGGCGCGACTGACTAAAATGTCATTATGTATTAGAATAATATATGGATCAAAATTAGTAATAATAGTATTTGTACTTATCAGTTGGCGCCACTGCACTGGCGAGTAAGGTCCACAAAGTCACTGGCTACTGGGAGTGATTTAAATTATTATTGTATTTTTACTCAGCAATAAGTTTACAGTTAATGTCAAATTTACCCAAATAGGTTGCAAATCTGACGAGAATTAAAAACTGGACTTTAAAGTTTTATTTTATGGTTAGAGGCTCTAAAACTAGCATGTTTGTTATGGTGCTTAGGAGCTCACGACAAGCTCAAAACAAGGCGTGAAAATTGGTTTCAAATGGCATAGGATATGATACTTCACTCTCACGTGACACATGTTGGTTGCTTCGCGGAGTCCTTTTATGAAGGCCTGTTTGAATGGGAACCAGTTTAACGCCGTGCTCCGCGTTTGTACAAACATGACTTAAAAGTTATTTTAATTTTGACTAACAAAGTAAATAGTTACGCAGTTCAAACGAGCACATAGGTTGGCCAAGTCTGTGCTACAATGAAATATCCACCCTAGGTGCATATTTTCTTCGAATAGCTCGAGTAAATTAACTACATATACTCGTACTTTACACCCTTGGCATAGGCATGGTTTAAACATAAAACCATTATATTTATACATATTCACTTATATTTGCTAAGAATATCATATACCATCAAAGCATGCACTCGAATGCAAGTTTCTTACAGTGAATTATTTAATCAACCTGTCGAAGAATAAAATAATCCAAGCAAAATTACGACTAGTAAGCTATAACGTCACATTCAGTTACGATGAATAGGTAGATGAACAGTGATAACACAAATTGAGTCGTCTGCTTGTTAGAGAATGTGTCATGGCAATTACCATAGTACTCCAGTTTATTAACCCATTCAATGAACTAGTATTCTAGTCTTGCTTTTACTAAATTCAGGGTAGATTGATTGCCTTTTTTGTAGATCATATATTTCCACGTCACTGTTATTGATTTTTCAACGTTTGTATATTCCAAAAACTATTTGATTTGTCTTCAAACAGTGAAATTAATATTATATTTAGTGACATATAGGTCAAAATTTAACTGTACGTAGGCAAAACGTATCGTTTCTGAACACATTTATGCTTCGTTTCTATAGAACGATGTTCATAAGTGTGTCGTTAAGGCACTAAGGCCCGTATCACGAAACAACGTTCAAACCTCAATTCAAAGTAGTCTGTGATTTGTCCAAATAATGAAATTCAAGTATCAATTAATGATTCTGATTTGAATCGGGTTTTGATCGACATTTCGTAATACGGGTCTAAAGCCCGTACCGTGGAACGACACTCAAGTATGCTCAAGAAAAGCTTCCAGTCTGTGAGCGTTCAAAATATTAAAATGCAACTAGTCTCAAGCTGTTTGAGTCGTTTTGAGCGTCTTTTCATGGCACGGGATCGAGGCGCGTGGCGCGGCTACCGGGCTATCAGAATGTTGCTGCGGCCATCGCTCGCGGTTACCATCTTACCAGAATGGGCACCAGCCGACGTAGCACTGGCAGAGGTTCTCGTTACTGGTGGCCTGTTGTATGAGCAGGTCGACTTGTTTGTGCACGGTGAGCGCCTCATCGATATGCGGGAAGTCTCGTCCGGTTAGTTTGTCTCTCACTCGATTCACGATAGCTAGGGCTCGTTTATTGAGGCTGGGTTCAGGCGGTGCGGGGGTGACGGGCGCGGGCGCGGGCGACGCATCGTCGTCGGCTCGGGAACGTCTCGCAGCGTCGACTAAACGCCAGTTGAGTAGAGGGTCGTACACGAAGGCTTCAAGTACGGCCATGACGCTGTCGCGGTGTCGGTGCAGCACTTCCATAACGGACTCGCACGTGCGCCGGTATGTGCCCTCGATGCCGGTCACCTGCACAAGTCACAGCGGTTCAGATGTACAGTGGCGTGCGCATCAGACTATTTTAGTCACAAATAACAGAAATAAGGCTGAGTTACACCACCTTGGGCACCCTGGGCTCTCGCGGAAGACCAGTTTCTTGACATGCCCTTACGAGCATGTCAGGATAAATGCTGAGCGGGAGCCTATTGACACAGTGGCCCACTGTTTTCTATATTCGTTTTGTGTTGTTATTGTTTATAATTTGTGCTTACTGTGTTCAATAAAGTCTACTTCTTTCTTTCTTTCACCTTATTTTAACCGTTACAATAACATTAACCGATGCTTTTTGTATGGAGTTTGACACATTTTTGACGCTTGTCAAAATTAAAGTAAGATGGTGCAACTCAGCCTAAGAACACACTCATGAACACTTGCTTAAGAAAGGCATCATACAACATATCATGACAAAGCACATGAATAACTCCTTAACGTGATATCTTACCTCCATAGCATTGATCAGCATCCGCGTCAACCTGAACGGAATCTTCTCCGGGAACTTATCCCTCGTCACTGCCACTTCGAAGCAGTCTCCGAAGTCGATATGCAGGAACTTCCCCGTGACCCGATCCAGCATGATGTTGGAGGGGTGTCGGTCGCCCAGGCCGAGGATATAGCCCACCATGCTCATGACTGCCAGCGAGCGCGTGTAGTTGGTGCGCCGCTCGAACCACACCTCGGAGGAGGGACTCTTTAACCAAAGGAGTTTCGCGAGGTCGTCGCCGGCTGTGTGCTCGAGCGCGTGCTCGAAAACTTCCACCTGTTTGTAAATATACAGGGCTTAGTGCGAGTTTACACCAAAAGTCATCACTAGCGAAGTAGGGACTGCATAAAAAATGACATAAACTAGGTATAAGACAGTTTGTAAAGCGTACTTTCAAGAACTAAAATCTTCATAGATTTTTTGACGCACTCGCTAACGGCGACATTCAATGTAAACTCTTACTAAGCCCTCTGGTTCTAGAAGTGGTCTTAACGTTACGTTACTACTGTCAGTTAAGATTGGTAGTACCACGGGTAAAAAATAAGAAATTCAACGTGTTTTTAAACTAATATCAGAGTACTTAGACAACGTTCAAAGTTGAATAAACTGAATAATAGTTGCACACATCGACAGGACAGCTGCTCGGGAATTCGTTGGCGTAAATGAAGGATAGCCCAAGTTCATCCTTTTTTAATAATCAATATCCAAATGGTCATTTCAAAAGCCATAATTTGAAGAGATTTATCCTTTTATAGTCTCCACTTAAAAATCTCAACTTTCCTTCCAACTAAAATCAGAAACTAATTCACAAATCTATTGTGTGAATTGTCTACCCCTCTATCATGACACTATCATCTAAGTAATGACAGAGGTATCACATACCTTTTGCATCAACATCAGCCTCTCCAAGTCCGAAGCCATTCGCTGCATAATCCTGTGTTCAATATTGAGCAGGCACTTCCTCTTCTCTCTATAATCCCTGATCAGTGAGTGCAGAGTGTCGCAGTGCGGCACCCAGCCAATCAGACCGGAGTTCGTAGACAGCGGGATGACTGCGTATCTCTGTACAGAATAGAATTTATTTAGCACACGACACATACAAGATCAACACATAAATGAACAAAAAAAAGGAAACCATAGAACACAATTAAAACATAAAAAAGAAAATGGTTTCGAGTGTCCCATGCCAAAGAGGCCCTTGGCTCAGCATAAGTGCCACAATACTGGTTTTAAGCAAGGACCTTTATGACATCGGGGTCGCCGCAGGCGTCAAAACTAAAAGTACGTACAAAATTACAAATAAATAAAATCTTAAACAAATTAAACACATTACAATAAACTTGTGTTTAACACAAAACTGCGCTATTATCATTATTGGATTATTAGTTTCGATTACTGTCACATTGGCCATCGCCATATAATTATGACACCAGAGCTGCAGAGGGCGCTATTTGACGTTTCAAAAAATGTTCAGTTGAAGTGTTGTAAAATTAAATTGTCACATTAACGAAATGTATGCTATAAATATAAAAAGTAATTATTAAATTAAAGTAAGACCTGTATGGCCAGGTCCCTCCGGAAAGTATCCGGGTCGGCCTGCAGTAGCGTGTTGACGAGCCCGAACAGTTGCATGACCCGCTCGTCTTGCCGAAGATCCTCGTGTCCTTTGAGCAGGAACATGTAGTCTTTGCCGTTGGACCCGCGGACGCAGAGTCGGCGTGGCCGCTGCTTGGACGTTATGACCTGGGTGCAATGTTCGTTTGTAAACAAATTGATAAGAAACTATTTTAAGTAATTTATTTATTCTTAAAAATATATTTGTCAATTGTTATTTATCTGTGTTAATAATACACAGATAACCGTAATGTAAGTAGTATTACGATTTCTTTTAATTTGCAAGTTTTTTATATTTTTGATCTTCTGTACGCAACATTCAAAGACAAATAAATATATCTATTTATGTGAATAAGTAAAAAAGACAGAATTTGAAAATTGGCACCCAACATGGTGTAGCTCAGTCACACGTTGGGCGCCAATTTGAAAGATTAGCTTAAGACTTATAACAGGCTGAAAGAAAAGTAAACTGGCGGTCGCTGTTTGGTCATGGGAGAAAAGGTTTGTTTGTAAACAAATTAATAAGACCTTACTGTGCATGAGTCTAAGTAAAAAAAACTGAATTTTACAATTGGCGCCTAACGTGGTGTTCCATAGTTACATGTTGGGCACTAATTTTAAAATTTAACGACAGACTTCTATGCAATGCCTAGTGTGGAGTTCTGTCTTTTAGTTATTGTATTATTTGATTCTGGCAATAAATATATTCATTTTCACTTTAAAAAGTTGGAGAGTAGATGCTGGATGCAGGCCGCTACCAATTGTGTTATGTGGAAGTCATTGGTCAAGTCAAGCCTCCCCGGCTTATGTTCAGCAGTGGACGTCCTATGGCTGAAATGATGATAATAAAATATTTGCACCAAATAACTTTTCATTTTTTTTTTAAATTTTAAAATTGGCGCCCAACATGGTCCGGTACAGTTACACGATGGGCGCCAAATTTAAATATTAACATAAAGCAACCTGTTTAGTGGCGACCACGAGCCGGAAGACGTAGTGTGGGAGGCCTCCCACTAGGTGGACCGACGATCTGGTGAAGGTCGCGAAAGGTGCCTGGATGGGGGCGGCGCAGGAACGGTCTTTGTGGAAAACCTTGGGGGAGGCCTTTGTCCAGCAGTGGACGTAGACGTTCATACCTGGCTGGGGCGGAGCCGCGAAAGAATGTATAGGCCGTCTAGCTCGGACAATAACTCGCAGCACCGTCCCAAAGACTTCGGGAGGACACCGTCAGGTTTTAGTGAGTGGGCCCTGCCCATCTGGCAGGGAGAGCCTTACATAACCCACTGGTTCCCCCAGGCCAGTGGGTATGCAATTTCATGCATTTCCTGACGAAAAAAAAAAAAGACGTTCATACCTGGAGGCTGCTCTGTATGTGCGCGATGCGGATGAGGTCCTGGTCGGGCACGTAGGAGCCGGGCACCGCGAGTTCCAGGTCGCGGCAGTGCAGCAGGCGCGGGCTCACGTATTGCAGCTCCAGCGACGTCAGCTGCGGCAGCTGGCGGCTGATGCGCCGGAACACGTGGTAGTACAGGTCCCACGCCTGGTTCAGGTCGCGGACCGAGCCCGACTCCTGGGGAGATGAGTGTTACGCTTTGTGTGTAGCCAGTGGCGGCGTAGCATGGGTTGGCACCCCAGGCGATCACCCCACCCCCCCCGTTATAAGTCTTAAGGCACCCCCTGGTACCCCCCAGGATTTTGGGGTTTCCTACGTATTATGACATAGACCGCAGATTTGCCATGCAGATGCACCAGTGAGTACTAATCTGCACGACTTGTATCACCCCCTGATGCTTGGTACCCGGGGCGGACGCCGCTACTGTGTGTAGCCCAGTGTTGAGCGAGATTGACAAGAATATCGACGTCAAAATAGTGACCACCGACTTTGATTTAAAGTCCGGTCGCCGAGCAGATAGTTTCGTCCAATGACCCCAAGCTACCCATCCTTATCGCTCGCGCGTAATTATTTTGCCGTCGCGACTGTGCGACGGGCGGCCGCAGTGAGCGATGCGAGCGCGACAGCAATATTATTACGCGTGAGCTTGGGGTCATTGGACGAAATTCTATGTGCTCGGCGACCGAACTTTAGCAACATGTCTAAACAAATTATTTGTGTAATGTCTTCGTCGTTCATTCTAGAAACTTTTTAGACTTATTACTAGAGATGCACCGAATGTAGATTGAACCGAATACGAATGTTCGGCCGAATCATTCGGTTCAAATTTGATTAAAACTAAAATTACCGTCTAATGTTGACTCTTAAAGTTTCTATTTTGTTTTTTTTTTTTTCATTTATGAACGGATGATATAATTTGTTTATTGTTGATTTTAAAGAATTTTATTTGACTTACATTGAATTAAAACTACAAATAGTTATGACAATTTCTAGTTCACCATTCACTAGCATACCTATAATACATACCTAGATAGATATTTATTTAAAAAAAACTTGATTTTATAAACGTACCTACTAGCTTTTGCCCGCGGCTTCACCCGCCTAAAATTTAGTTTGTTACAGATCGTCATAAATTATAGCCTATATTATGTTATTCCGGGCCGGGTTATAAACAATAATACTGTAAAGTTTCATCAAAATCCGTTCGGTAGTTTTTGCGTGAAAGAGTAACAAACATCCACACAAACTTTCGCGTTTAAAATATTAGTAGGATTTGAATACTTGTGTTGGTTCCTTAAGATAGTACTAGTTATTTTTATTTAATTTTCAATTTCATAAAAAATAAATTTACCGTCAGTAAAGCAGCTTTTTATTTCACAATAAATAATTGGTACAAGTAGTGTCTGTTTTATTTTCAAAAACTGTAAAATACTTTCGCAATAAACTACACTTATTTAGTAATTTGAACAAAGCTGTTTATTTAAAAAAATGTTTTAATTGTTAACAATACTTTTAATATTCGGTAATTATTCGGCAATTCAACCGAACATTCGGCCGAATACGAACATGGGAAAAATATGCCGAATGTACCGAATACGAATATTCAACCGAACATTCGGTGCATCTCTACTTATTACATTACATTTAAAAGAAAAAAAATGGCATACATACCTTGAATCGATTACACCATTCTTGGGCATCGCCCAAATCTCTTCCGTACGCCGTAGTGAAGGACACCTCCTTCGTGGTCTGAGGGCCTCTCTCGAGCATCGCGTGGAGAGGTTCCAAAGTCTTAAACATCGCCTTCACGTCGTGCTCGCTGAAGTATAATCGCGAGGCTTCCTCCAGCGCCTCGTGCCACTGCTCGTGCCACAGGATGGCCACGCGGATCAGCTCCTCGGAGATCATCGCGGCCTGGTTCACCAGGTTGCTCGAGTGGGTGCACATCGACTTCAGCACCTGGTTGGCGGCGTTCTTGCGCGCCACGAACGACGACTTGGACGCCACCGTCAGCGGGTACACCAGCGCCTGCGGGTGCGACTTGCCGATGTCGATCAGCAGCGAGTGGATCAACTTGCCCACCAGAGCCCTTAAAGATAAAGATATTTATTTGCAAGAATAGGTAAGTACAGGTTATTGTTGATGTTACATGTATTAAGGACTCTATTCTGTTAAAACATGCAAATTTACGGGTAAGGAATTCCCGAACACCGTAGAAACAAACAGTAGTCAGCCATTCACGAAGCTTTTTCACCATCAATTTTGTAGGGCCATTTTTATACAGGGTGTTAGGTAAATGGGTATATGAGCCGACACTAGCCCATGTTAACATGGTCATATAAAAGGTATGGTGAAGTCAGAAAATTGATATTTTCATTTTAACTATTTTAATTTTCATACAAATCGGATTTTGTAAAATTTATTTTGTATAAAAATTGAAAAAAATTATAATCATGATATCAAATTTCTGACTTCACCATACCATTTATATACCTATGTTAACATGGGCTAGTGTCGGCTCATATACCCATTTACCTAACACCCTGTATACATCAGAAAAAAATTGTTATACACCTCAATACACATGCAGTAACAATTTTTCTTAATAAGTGAAGTTCTTGGGCAAAAGAAAAGAGCTAGCCTGACTATCTATCGACCTTGGCGTGTCGATGCGCGCGATGAGCTGCGGGATGACCTGCAGCCACACGCCGATCTCGATGGTGCGGATGCCCTCGACCAGCGCCTCGTGCACGGCCGGCTGGTGGCCGTGGTCGAACCACAGCGTCAGCAGGCGCAGCGTGTCCTGCAGCGAGCTGCCGTGGGACAGGTTTATCGACTTGAAGAAGCCCTCCACGGCCGGCACCGTGTGCAGCGCCACGCACTCCGGCGGCGCGCTCGTCTCCCGGTGCTTGTAGAACAGCACCGTCTCGAAGTTCATGTAGGCCCACGCGTGCCACGCCTTGTACCAGTCGGCGGCCAGCTCGGTCGCCGACGCGTAGTTGCGCAGGATCTCGGGGATCGAGAGCTCGTTGATCCCGAGCAGCGCCTCGCACCAGGAGCCCAGCTTCAGGTGGCAGCGCGCCAGCAGCCGGCACTGCTCCGGGTCGCCGGTCTCCGCGCTCTCCACGTAGCGCTGCAGCTGGTCGTACGCCAGCTGCTTGTCGACGGCCACCCACAGGTGCTTGGCGTACGCGAGCGTCAACCTGGGCTCGTGAGTCGGCAGCGGCAAGTCCCGATCCTTGCTCGGGTCCGTTCCCAGCAACATGACCAGCGTCCGGTGGGCCTGGCGCGGGGCCCCGCTCTTTCGGCAGAGCGATGCGAATTTCAGCCACGTGGCCATGTCCTCGTGGGGTGTCAAAACCAAACTGCGAACCTGCAGTATTTTACGCCAATCTTCGACTAATTTCTGTCCGCCCTGGAGCCTGGTCCACCAAGCTTGGCGGATGCATTCTCGCCGTTCGCTCACTTGTTTGTACATGATCACTTCTTCTAGCTCGGCCAGCAGTTGGGCGTTCACCAGAGCTCCGTACGCTCGCTGGTAGCTCTCGCCGGCTACGGCGGTCAGCTCCGAGTCTAATAACGTGCGAGCTTGATCGATGTATAATTTTGACAAATCGAATTGACCATTATGGATGTTGAGGACTGCGCGATAGAATGCCCCATCTTGAGTGTTTTCTGGTAGGAAGCTCACATACTTTGCCATGGAGTCCCATTCTTTCAGACCCCAGGCGGCCGCGGCGGCCAGTCTCGCCGCTTTGTACTTGTCATCGTCTGTCATATTAGTCCACCGTTTGGACACTGTATTGTACAGTTTGACCCACTCTCCTAAAGCTTCGAAGCAACGTAACTCGCCGAGATACGCGTCCATGTTGTCGTTGTCTACGGCCAACTTTTCTCCATAGAGGTGGAGCGCTTTCTCCCAGTTGTGGAGCTTTTCGTACCATCGTATTTGTACTTTGAGATTGGTGTCGCCAGCCTCTCGTTGGGCCATCACTCTTTCGAGCAAGCCCTCAGCGGCTTCCTTTTGCTGTAGTTTGTTGTTTATGTGAATTAAAGCTTCTACGACTTGAGATGTGGCACCGCTGCGGAATTCTTCTTCCTGCAATGAAAGAGTTAAGTAAGTAAATACAAAACTGCAATTGAATATGAAATGTTATAGAGCATTTAATACATAGCATTCATTGATAGTACAAGTACGTCGTTATTTATTTTGTTGAACATCATTGCTAAAGTCAAGTCAATACATATTATAACCAAACAAGGTTATATGAATTAATGGTCCTTCGAGCCGGATCTGAATCAGCGACCTCGAAAACTATTCAGGATATCGATCATAATATTGAAAGTATCGCGCTAGCTGCAGGCTACTACCAAAGGACAATATGGAAATCATTAGAGGAGGCTTAGGTTCAGTAGTGGACGTCCTGTGGGTGAAATGATGACGATCCGCCAGCTCGGGGCGACAACGCATACCTTTTTTTTTTTAAATTATAAATAACTTGAAAAAATCGAACTGCCTAAGGCGGGAATTGAACTCACGACCTTCCGCTTGCCGGGCGACTGCTCTTCCAACTGAGCTACTTAGACACTGGATGAACCCGTCGAATTTTTCAAGTTATTTATAACTAGCTTTCCGCCCGCGGCTTCGCCCGCGTGGAATTTTGTCTGTCACAGAAAAACTTTATCGCGCGCGTCCCTGTTTCAAAAACCGGGATAAAAACTATCTTATGTTCTTTCCCGGGACTCAAACTATCTCTATGCCAAATTTCATCAAAATCGGTTGCGAGGTTTAAGCGGGAAAGCGTAACAGACAGACAGACAGACAGACAGACAGACAGAGTTACTTTCGCATTTATAATATTAGTTGGGATTTTCAAATAAGTTTGAGATGCGACTCTTAACGCTAAAAATTAAATAACTAAATAACGCATACCTTGTAGTGCAGTACAGTTGTAGTCGGGCGTCGGGCGCCCCAAGCGGTCTTCGGCTCATACCTTGTAGTAGAGCGCCATGGCGTAGGCGAGAGCTCGGATGCCGGGCATACATTGTAGTGTAGCGCATTAGTGTAGGCGCGAGGTTGGGCGTCGGGCGCCCCAAGCTGTCTTCGGCTCATACCTTGTAGTAGAGCGCCATGGCGTAGGCGAGAGCTCGGATGCCGGGCATACATTGTAGTGTAGCGCATTAGTGTAGGCGCGAGGTTGGGCGTCGGGCGCCCCAAGCTGTCTTCGGCTCATACCTTGTAGTAGAGCGCCATGGCGTAGGCGAGAGCTCGGGTGCCGGGCATACCTTGTAGTGTAGCGCCTTGGCGCCCTTAGCAGTCAAACACATATCTAGTAGTGCAGCACCTTGGCATAGATGAGAGCTCGGGCGTCAGGCGCCCCAAGCCGTCCCCGTCCTATACCTTGTAGCGCCTTATCGCCCTCAGCCGTCAGTCGCACACCTTGTAGTGCCGCGCATCAGTGTAGGCGCGAGTGCGGGTGGTTGGCACCCTAAGCCGTCAGTCTTATGCCGCTTTTCACCATCAATCCCTAATTTTTAAGTGACCCCTATGAAAAAAAAAAATTGTTACAATAGCGGTCACTTAAAAATTAGGGATCGATGGTGAAAATGGTCACTTATTTATCATCAGGTGATCCGTCTGCTCGTTTGCCTCCTATCACATAAAAAATAACGGGTGTCTATGACAGACAGCTTCACATCACTATCGTTCAATCTCATTCGGTCCGCGCGCGCGTTCACTCTTCCATTCACTGTATCCCTCTCGCCTATCAGCCACCGAACCGGTAGGTTAACTCGCAATTTATTTCAATGTAATATTGTCCAAAAGTACAATAAATTCTCAAACTCAAGAATGCATTTTATTAAGTAGTTCTGCGTGAACAACGGGCATCATACCTTGTAGTGGAGCGCCTTGGCGTAGGCGCGGCAGTGCATGGCGCGCTCGCGCCGGCGTCGCAGTGCTCCATGAACTCGGCCAGGTTGAGCAGCGTGTGAGCGAGCTCGGGCGCATAGTGAAGCGCTCCGACGCAGACGAGAGCTCGGGCATACCTTGTAGTGGAGCGCCTTGGCGCCCCTAGCAGTCAAACGAATACCTTGTAGTGGAGCGCTTTGGCGCCCCTAGCAGTCAAACGAATACCTTGTAGTGCAGCGCCTTGGCGCCCCTAGCAGTCAAACGCATACCTTGTAGTGCAGCGTCTTGGCNTCCTTAAAATAGTAGTTATTTTTATTAACATTATACTATTCTAAAAAAGTTTTCTGAAAACAGTTGTTTGTTACTCAACAAAGCAGTGTCCTTAAAATATTCAATTTCATAAAAAATAAATTTACCGTCAGTAAAGCAGCAGTTTCTTTGATAAAATAATTATTTGTTGATTGTTAATCTTTTTATTTCACAATAAATAATTGGTACAAGTAGTGTCTGTTTCATTTTCAAAAACTATAAAATACTTTCGCAATAAACCACTTATTTAGTAATTTTAACCAAGCTGTTTATTTAAAAAAAAAATTTTAATTGTTAACAATACTTTTAATATTCGGTAATTATTCGGCAATTCAACCGAACATTCGGCCGAATACGAACGTGGGAAAAATATGCCGAATGTACCGAATACGAATATTCAACCGAACATTCGGTGCATCTCTATTTATTACATTAAAAAAAACCGGCCAAGTGCGAGTCGGGCTCGCGCACAAAGGGTTCCGTAGCAGCAAATATAATAAACTTATTATGTCAATTTATACACCTGGTGAATGGAGCCTAAACTCTCCCGATATTTTGCCTTGTACTTTTATGTATGAATATTAATTTTATATATGTATTTATAAATATTCCGAGCTA